GCAAATTTAAATATTTTCTTTGCATGACAATTTTATTTTCCAGATTATTTATTTTTTATTAACCTTCATCCATATTAAAGCAATCATTTATTCTATTTATATGACCTTAAAAGAGCCTTTTTGCATTAAGATCTCTCATATAGTTGACTTAGTAATAAATTATTAAAAATATTTTTAATTTTAGCATTCTAATTAAAATATTGTGGGCCCTGACATGCATTATCTGATAGCTCTGGGGGATCTTTATATTATGGTGCATTAGGTGCAACTGACTGCATTAAACACCAAATCCACGTATTTTAAAATCCATACCCGCACAAAGAGATCGTGATCTGGGACTATATATGTTATATGCAAGAGTTAAGAACAAGTAATAAGATATACTCAATCATAATGATAGAAGATTATTAAGCATGCAAATGATCAAGTGAGCATTCAGGCATGGGCAATAATATGATAATTATACAAGAAATGAAACGGATATAGAAAAAATAAAATAATAGTTTTATGTCGCTCAACACCCAACTGGCTATATTCATACCTAACCCTACCTGAGTTGGGGTTTTACTACCTGCCAATAGCAGAATCCCTTGCTTCTCGTGCTGCTAGAAAAACACCACAAAGTAAATAACACACTTTTCTTCAAGGGTAAATGCAACACTCTTGTTGTTGTAGAAAGTGGACCTTAACTAAAACTTTCTAATCCGAAAGCTTTTTTAAATCTTCCAGGACTTGGCAAATATAATAGTACAGGAAAAAATCAAACCAAAATTCTACCAACTAATAGAAACACAACATAATCTCTAAAAAAGATAGATTGCCAAAATATAAATAAAAACCACTTGCTACGCCGAGAGAGATTGAGCTTGTGGGCCTCCAAAAAACATGATTTGGATGAAAATTTTGTTTCTTTCTCTATTTTTCTTTAGAAATGATAAGATCATGGAAGTCCTCTTTAATTGATATTTTACTTGAAATTTATTCGAAAACCATTAATATTTATAGAGAAATAAGTTCTCTCAAAACATCAAAAAAAGATCCCACAAAAAATACCTAATAAATCTTCCCAGAACCTCCTTTCCAACAGTTAGAATAACATGTCATTATAGGGTTAGATTGGGCAAAAACTATGCTCCCTATGGCCAAACAAGGCCAGATCCAACATCTAATACACATGTAGATGGGGTAATAAGCTATTACAAATTTTAAGGAAATAAAAATTCTATATATACAAAAACTAGTTTATAAAGTATAAGTCAATTATTCAAAATAAACGTGATCATGTGTGATTGGTATTAAATGATAAATTTAAATATATAATTGTGAAACTTAAATTCACATAATTTTTAATAATATTAACAATATATTTCACAAAGAAACAACTGTATAGAACATGACTACTAATTATTATAATTTTAGCGAAGAATAATACTTATAGATTAATTGAATAAGAAAATACATCCAGATAAATTTTTGAAGTAATTAAAATTTTAGAATAATATGTAATATAATTGCAATCAATTTTAACAAAAAAAAAAATAAAAATTTTAATTTTCATTTACCATTCTAAAGACCTTACTAAAAACTATTTAATCAATTTACGACGAATACATCATAAACATACTCACTAGAGTACCAAGCCCTCAATCTTCACTTTACATCCTCTGACATGTCAAATTGGTCATCTTAAGATTGTATCTAAGTCACAAGTGCTCCAAGCTAGTCCAATGGAACTCATAATCATTTTCATGAATTTTTGATAATTACTACCTAATAGAAAATACTTAGCAAGTCATTAGACGAGATCATATAAGAATTCTTATCAACAAATCACCCAAACATACATACTAATCTTCACAAATTTAGTCACTTAGTTTATTTCATAATTCTTATCACTCTGGCCCAACTCATGTTAAAGAGAGTGAATGTGAAAAATAATAAAAATTCAATAGGTAAATAGTATAACAAAAATCATAAGTTATATTAAAGGATTGCAACAATCAATTGATAAGAAAAAATGTCATTAATCAAGCTCTATGTAGCATTCTTTACGCAACACAAATAAGGTATCATCCTACACAAAAATTAATGCATTATGCTCTCCTCTCTTCTGTCCCTACCGTCACTCTTTCTTCAGTAGCAAGCAAATCCAGGGTTAACTAATGAGAACCTGGGATGAGAATAAAACAAAAGCGCATCCAAATTCATAGTCATCCAACTTGAATTTTGACAATGATCAGTTTCTTTAGGTGCAAATTAGTAAACTAACTTGTTCTTCCCAAAAGAGTACACATTTTTACAAAATATGACATTCCCAAAGAAGATTTGAGAACAAAAATATATATATATTTGCACAAAACCCAAAGCCATATATAAAATCTCACAGTCAATGAACTTTTCCATGATAATGAAAACCAAGTAATGCATGGAACATGATAAAATCTCAATCACATAAACAAACAATTACTAGACAACCTTAATAAAAACAAAGGATTGAATTCAACAAAGAGATGTCTTGGCCTCTGTTGACCTCATTTTTAGCGAGGTCTAGTCTTC